GAAGCACCTGGCTCCTGGCTTTGGATCGGCATAGCTCCAGCCATAGTGGCCATTTGGGGGTTGAACCAATGGAAGGAAGACCTTTCTCTCTGTCTCTCTCTCTCTCTCTCACTGTCTAACTCTATCTGTCAAATAAATAAATAAATAACCCATCACAATTACATGACGCTAAAGCCAGTATCCTGAAGACAAAAAGATGACAATTTACCTCATCTAAGAGTTCCAAAAGTCTGTTCCGAATCTGTTCTGGATTTTCAACATTCGGATCCTTGAGAAGCTGCCTGAACTTCTCAATCACCTGATAGAAAGCATTCTTCCACAGGATCTGATCCACATTCTGATTATCAGAGAACTCAATATCTAATAGAATACAGCGCTCATATAGCTGCAGTAGTTCAGCTCTGGAATAAAATACACGCAACTTCTAGTTCCAAATACACCACAGAAAAGGCCAGACCCAAGATTTGAGCTTCCTGTAAATTAACCGCCTCCCTTGGCAAGAAATCCAAAATGTGACCAGGTACACTACTCATACTACTTCCCATTCAGCACAGTAAAATGTCATTTTAAAGATAGTTAATGTCTAAGAAAATAGGTTGTCCCCATATGTCTTCACCTAAATTTAACAACTGAAATAAGATCTTCACTGCAAGTTAAATGTTGTTCAATTCTGGAAAGTCTTTCCTTTTCCCTTTGAAGATTCCACATTCCCTTAAAGGCCTTTTTTTTTTTTTTTTCTTAAAGAAAAAGTAGGAAGCATAATTATTTCTACTAGGAATGTTCTTTTTCCAACTGTCCTTCCCTTACAAAAGCCAATGTGAAAGGAAGACAATACTCAGGGGCTACCCCAAAAGCTTAGACCATCTATAGCCACAGGAGCCTATTACACTCTAGCTCACCCCCAGTCCTCCTAGCCAGGGTGAAACACACCATACCTGAGCTGAGCCATCTTCTCCAGGCCCTCAGGACTGATGCGGTCCCTGGAGAGCAGGTTGCTGAGCTGCAGTTCCTGGTTATCAGCCACCCGGAGAAGCCTGTGTAGCTCCTGTTGCTGAACATTTCTCATGTGCTGTTCTATCTCCTCAGGGCTCATGGTGCTGGCAGGGACGGGGCTACAGACATACTGTCCAGATGGGGTCGGGTAGCCTGGGTAGTAAGGTCCTGGGTACACACCATTTGTAGGGCCCATTGGATACTGTAAAGGGCTATAGCCTGTATAGGGATACTGGGAAGCAGGCCCTGGTGTCCGGGGGTAATAATAGGGGTTGTCAGAATTTTGAAACTTATAGTAAGATGCTTGGGCCTGGCGAGAGTCACTCCAAGATGTAGGGCTGACTTCATCATCAGTGTCCAAGAAATGTAGCTGGGGCACCTGGCTCTTTAAAGCAGGCTTCTGGTCAGGATTATTTGGGTCCCACAATCGGCGGGTTGTGCCTCCACGACCCCAGCTCCGAGACCCCTTACTACCAGATCCAAATAAAGGCCGAGGTCCCAAAGGTGTAGACTCTGGAGAGCCTGCCGAATTCACAGACAGAGTGGTATGGGCAGGCAGAATCAGAATGCCACGCCCACGACCCCGAAGTTCTTGTTTCAAGTTTTTAGACTCTTGCTTCTCAGAGCCCTTGCCCCCACTGCTCAAGCCTCTGTCAAGCTTTACCCTCTCCACATCCTCCCTGGCTGACCTCACCATGGGGGAATCTTTGTTCATGGTTTCTGCATCAAAAGTGACACGAAGAGTGCCTCGATTTTCTTTACCATTGCTTTTCTGCTCGCCCTCCCCATTGGCAGACCAGTTTCTTTCTAAATGTTTCTTCCTTTCTGAGCTCTTCCTGGGTCCTAATCCATCAGGCTCATCAATTTTATCCTCATCTAAGGAGTCAGTTGAAGACATCGATACTTGCTTCTTCAGTCGTGGCCTCTCCTTGGTCCGATCCTGTCGGCGGCGGCGACATCCATTATTATCGGTCAGGCCAGCTCCCTCAGCACTGTTGTTGCTACCCGCTGAGCTGGTACTACAAGTGCGGTAACGGTTCCTTCGTTTATCTGAGCGGGAGTACCGCTTTGCAGAACCTGGCTTCCCCTGGCCCCCATCATCAGTCACTTTTTTCACCCCCTCCCCTTTTTCAACCCTCTTTCCTTTTTCTCCCTTTGCAGTCCTTACTCTCTCACTATTTGGGCTCTTGTCTGTCTCAGTTTTATCTGTCTTATTCACGATTTCCTCTTTCACAATTTTGCCCCTATAATCATCTTCCTGTACTCTCAGCTGTTCTACCTGGTTGAGGATTTCTTCCTCATCCGCCCGAACAGCAGGTTCTTTGGTAACAGTTTGTAAACGCCGCCCAGGCTGATAGATCTGCAGGTCCGGTTTCTTTGTTCTCTTAATAATTCTTAGACTTCGATCCTCTTGTCCAACAGTCCTAGGAAAGGATTCCTGTCCCCGATTATTTTCTAGGTCTATAGGACCATTTTGCTGTTGGCTGTCCAGGTCTTTGCAGGCATCTTTAATGATCTGTGTGTCATTTCCAACAGCAGACTCTCTGTCATTAGCAATTTCATCCTTAAATTCCTCACTCCCAGAGGGTTCCTTGATCTTAGGTCTGTTCCTTAGTCGAGAAAGACCAGGCTTATAGATTTCCAAATCTGGGCGCCTGTTATCTTTACGTGGCCTGGGCTCCTTTAATTCCTTCATGTTTTCTGTTGTGTTGGGGAGAAGGTTGGGAAGAGTGAAGGAGGAAGGGGAAAATACTGTCATTCTGGTTAAGCAACACAAAGGCAAGCAAGAACTACAAATCCAAATGCCAACATTATAACAGATGAGGAAGGACATTTCTTCAAATGCAGAAATTCTGGGTTTATAATATTTGTTCAACAACTGGCAAGGCTAAGAATTTAATTGTGCTACAGCTACATACACATGGGGGAGGAAAAAGGGGGAGAAACCCATATACTCTTGGGTTATTCAAGTCATATTCTGAACCTTAAAATCCGAAAGTACTCATTATTGTCAGAATAAGAGGGCTAACATTTCCAGCATTAGATTGTTTTCTGTCTACACAACCCTTGCTCTACAGACATCTCAGTCTTTTCTTTCACCTGGAACATTTTTCTAGGGTGGCTAAGTCTGTTTAATGTATTAGTGAGGAGTAAGGGTAGAAGAAAAAGAATATGTATAATAATCTACAGTCCTGAGCATCTCTGCAGGGGAAAAAAAAATAAAAGGTAATTCCAATCTCTGAACTTGACCAGGATAATTCTATTCTTAAGGATACCACGCCTCCTACTGAAACAAACAGAAAGCAGTTCCTTTACTTTCTCCAACTCTGCTTATTCTCCCAATTCTCTAACAGTAGCCAGCAGAGTCACTTCAAAGGAATACTGCTCAGACTATCATCACCAGACCACCACGATTAACTGCTAATATCATGATGGAACAGGAGAAAAAAGTTCCACAGGGGAGCTTTCCCTGGACATTGGAAAGATGGTGACATGCTCTCAAAATACCAAGAACTGGGGCATTCAAAAGTAAGAATTCAGAAACCACACTGGAGGCTCCATGAACTTACTGAAAGATAGATGAGCAAAACTATGTCTTTTGTAAAGATCTGTTACCTGTACCTATTAAAGAGAAGACAACTGTAAGTATGCCCTAAACATTTCAGTGGGAAAGTGACAGGAATCATTGAGAACATTATCATCTACTCAATATTCAATGCTACATAAAATCCCAGTACTGTACTGTTTTATAAACACAATTACAAACAAATCCAGAATAGGATCGCATGGTCCTGCATTTACACCTTCAAACAGGAGAAACAAAACAGAAAATAAAGCTGAAAAAATAAACTAGCTGTAGTTTAAAGATTCCGCATCGGTATCTTCAAAGAGCCTTTATGAAGTATGAACAAAGATACAGCAATTTAACCCTGGAATGGCTCACTCCCAGCAGTCTTTGTATCTTAGGAGTGGGTCAGAAGAGCTACTACTACTTCGCACAGCAAAGGGGAAAAACAGCCTGAGTAATCCAATTCAGGGGACTAACCATTTCAGACTGGCCACAGGTCTGGAAAAGGCACCTACCACAGCTGCAGTTCTGCCCAGCTCCACTGCCTAACAAAGAAAAGGTGCGACCCTAGAATCTTTCTTGGAGTTTTCCTGATGTGATTCGACTTTTAAATAAACTTGCAAAATGAGCTTTCTCTCTGATAAAAACTGCTCCCACACATGCCAAGGCCAAACCAGAGCGGCGTCAGCCCTCGGAGGTCCTGGATCCCTGCAGTGGCGCAGCTTTGAGGAGCCTGCCTTAGGGGGAAAAAAAAAAAAGTTCACCAAGGAAGTCTCAGGCTGTAAAAACTGTCTCAATTTCCCGGTTCCTTCTCTCCGACGCCGAACAGACGGCCGAGGCGGCCTGCGGATGACGCCTTCGGGAAACACACACCGGGGGTCTCGCACACCCCAGCATCCACTCCGACTACTGGGGACGGTCGGAGAGGGCTGGGGCAAGGGGAACAGTCACCTTCGCGGTGAGACGCGGGTGGAGGCAGAACGCAGGCAGGGCTCTCCCAGAGGCAGACCCAGGTCGTGGCCGAGCCGGGTCCCACACTGGCCCTGGAGCTGGCAGGGAGGGGACCGCCCGTGGCCCCCGCCCCCACTGTTGGGGGAAGGGGCGGGGGCTCCCGAGCGCCGCCGACCGGGCAGGGAGGAGGCAGAGGAGGGGAGGGAGGCGGGGCGGGCAGGCCCGGCCCAGGAGCTGGGCGGCGCGACTCACCTCTGCTCCCGGCCTGCGGAGCCAGAGTGGCCAGGATCCCTCTCAGCTCCGACGCGGAGATCCTCACACGCTCTAACCCCTCCGCCATCTTCGCGACTGCTGCTACAGCTGCAGCTACTTCGCCACCGCCGCGCGCAGCCAGGAAACCACGACGGACGGGCGGCGCGCGCGCTCACCCACTCCCACCCTTCTCCCCGCCCCCTCCCGCCTTCCCTCCCCAAACGACGGTGGCCGCACTGGGAGAAAAGCGCCGAACGCACGTTCGAGAGGGCCAGCTTCGGAGCGCGAGCCCGGGCGCGAGCGGCCTGCGCTGCGCGTGCGCAGAGGTATGGTCGGGGAAGGTGTGCAGAGGCTGGAGTTGGAGGCGCGGCGCCGGTGAGGTGAGGTGAGGCCGGGCCGTGCCAGGCGGGCGTGCACGGCGGTGGCCGCCGTCGCTGCTGTGGTGGGCACCGAGAACACTGGTGCCGATCTGGGGCTAGGGTTGATGGAGACGACCGCAGTCCTGCCGCCCATAGCCATCCTAGGCCACGGTCCTCCGCCACAGGCCGGGACTAGCGCCTTAGGCTTGTACTTGGGGATCTTAAAAATCTTGTAAAAGTAGTTCTTCCCGTTTGTAAGATTAAAAAACGGAGCCCTAGAGGACCGAGGTAAACTGCCCCGGGTGACGACGTCTGGTAGGACCTGGGTATCTTAATGCAAACTACATCTGCAAGCCTCCTGACTTAAAATGGACAGACAGCAGGGTTGGCTCCTGCTGAGGGAAGGAGTTGTGTGGAAGAGGAGGTACTGTAAGTCACCTGGGGAATTTTTGTATTTCTGTGGATTCTTGACAAAGTTACCCCCATGCAGTTGCGGTTGATTTTTTTCTTGCTTCAATCTTTAAAATTTAACTAGACTGGAAGACTTTAACCTTTATTGCCCCTGAACTGTTGTAAACCTTGGTGTGGTGGAAACTCCCTGTCCCAAGGTTGCCGGCCTCCCCCTGTTGCTCCTGCAACCCGACTATGCCTTAGTTGGAGCCCAGAAGGTTTGAGCGACCTGTGAAGTAACACTTTGCCACCAACAGGTTAAAGAGATTCAACAGTTCCGAAGGAGGAGAGTGACTTGAGTGGCCAGAGCAAGATGTGTTACACGCTAATTCGTTTTGATGTGGAAATTTGAGAGAATATTGCATCATTAAAAACAAAATCGGAAACAGAAAATTAGAACAAGTATGATTGCCAATTTAGTGCAACAGTGTCAGTGAACTGCAGATTAGATATGCCAAAAGTTAAGCCAGCTCAAAAAAATTTACAGAACTTGGGAATAAAATAGTAGGTAGTAACTGAGAGATAATGATGGGAGACATAAAGAATGGGTGCAAAAACTAACAATTAAGTATGATTCCAGAAGGTGATAACTGATTGAGTAGGAGTGTAGTCAAATAGAGCAAATTTTACTAAGTTGGTGGAAGAGTTTGAACTATCAGATTTAAAGAGAATTTAAATGAAAAGGCAACCATATTTAGACCTGTACCACAACAAAAGCTTCTGCTTTTAAAAAATTAAAATGTGTTTATGTATTGACATAAACAGTCTTCAGGATGTATTGTTTAATGCTTTCACTTTTAAAAACCACTTGCAGGTTGATATATATATAGTATGAGTCTATGTGTGGCAAAATCATTTGTCATATTTGTAAATTTCTATATAAATACATCCAAAAAGGGTGTGGAAGTACTTTGAAAACCGGCTACCCTTATGGAAAAAGAGGGGATTTGGTGGTAGAGAGTGAAAGTTCTATGTAATTCTGTAATTTTTAAAATTCTTAAAAATAGAGGTTGTATCACATTATATGGGTAAACCAAAAATAATAAAGCAAATTTGGATAAAAAACTGTATAAGTCATATTTATTGAGCATACAGTAAGAAAAGTAGAAATTGAATAACCACTAATGAAGCAAAAAATTCTAATCACAAAAAAACCACTAACTTTAGATAACTTGCAGATCAAAAAATAAAATAAGGCTAAGATCATGGATTTTTTTTAGAAATTAAGATAATGAAAGTATTCCATAACAAAATCCATGATATGTCATTAAAGCATTTGTGTGTAGCTTTAGGTACATTTATGTAAAAAAAAATAACAAGCTAAAAAAGAACAGTACTTGATAAATAAATAAAAAGAAAGCTCATTCTGTAGGAATAAAATAAGACATTTGTGGAAAAAAATAAGAAGGAAAAAGACATCCTCTTGGAGGTCTCACAAGCAATTCAAACTTAGTTTATCAAATCTCTGATTTTTCTCCTCAAACACATTTCTTATCCAGTCTTAAATCTCAGTAAATTATATTGCCATCTAAGTAAAAGCCCAGGCAGTATCCTTGGCCCCTCCATCTCCCTCACATTCACTTGATCTTAGCAAAAGGCTGAGAAGCAATTCCCTCACATTCCTCACATTCATTCCACTATCAGGATATGCCTTTTCTAGCTCTGCATTGAACATACATGGAATCATGTCCCCAACATTTTTCCCTTCTTTTTCTGTTGAATACTTTCACTGTCATTCAGAAGTAGGTTTTTTTCTTTCTCTTTTTTCTTTGTTTCCTTCATCATTCCCTACTTTTGCTGTTATTTTTCACACAGATGCAGACAGTTGAGCCAGTCATATTATTTTGTTCATACTAGCATCAACAGGGCCTTTCATTTTATCTTTAAAAAAAAAAAAAAGATTATTTATTTGAAAGAGTTACAGAGAAACAGAGATCTTCCACCCACTGGTTCACTATCCAAGTGGTTGCAACAGCCAGGGCCGGGCCAAGCTGAAGCCTAGAGCCTGGAACCCCATCCAAGTCTCCTATATGGGTGGTGGTAGCAGGGCCCAAGCATGTGGGCTATCCACTGCTTTCCCAGGTGCATTAGCAGGAAGCTGGTTTGGAAGTGGAGCAGCCCACATGGAATGCCAGCATCCCAAGAGGCGGCTTAACCTGTTGTGCAACAAAGTTGGGCCCTCATTTTATCCTTTTGCTTTTTGTTCTAGTTCCTACTCATGTTCCATCCCTGCCCTCTTTGTGACTCTAATATGTTTGATATGTGTCTTTGAATACATGTATCTATGTATCTTTGAATAATATGAGATTACTTGAAAACACTCATGAAAAATAGAATTAAAAGATGGTACAAAATATTTTGAAGTCCATGCATAGTTTTTTCACAGTATACATTGTTCATGAACTTTTTGAAGATTCCTTGTGTGCATAGATTTCAGTTTTTCCCAAAATAAACTTGTTTTTTAATTCCATTTTCCATTTCTTTCAATTCCATTTTTGAAGTACCCTTGTATAATGTTTTATGTACGTGTTTTAAATATATATAACTGATACAGTAGTATAGATCTCATTCAGTTTCTTTTGGGGAAGGTGGTAGGGAAGAGAAATACAGATAGAGAGCTCCCATCTGCTAGTTCACTCCCCAAATGCCCAGGGCTGTTGTGGGGTGGAAGCTGAGAGCCATGAATGCAATCCATGTTTCCCACTTGGGTGGCAGGAATCCAGTTACTTAAGCCTCACTGTTGCCTCCCATGGTCTACATTAGCCGGAAGCTGAAGTCTGGAGATAGAGCCAGGTATCAAACCTAGGCACTCCAATGTGAGACATGGGAACCAGCATCTTAACCACTAAGCCAAACACCCACCTCCTGTTTTCTTTTTCATGTTACTGTAAATGCTTCTGACTGTTGCATAGTATTGTCTTAGTGACCTCATACCTTTGGCCAGTGGTCCTAGGCCAAGAGTCAGAGTCCTTACCCAGAATTTTTATAATTTTTATAATTGAAACTAAGAAAGAAAGCAAATTCCTCTTCAGTGTGGAAGCAATAAAATGTAAAACACAGGAGCTGTCAGCATCCACGTGTCCTGCCATATGGAACCAGCTGGTATGCAGTGGAAAAGAAGCCGACATGCAGAAAGCAGCAGAGGTGAGAAACAGAGCCCTGGAAGCTCTCAAGTTCCTGGATCCAGTTGTTCCTGACGCTCCATATTTGTGCCCTTCCTGTGGTTTGTTCAATTCTTGGGTTCCATGAGCCAGTAAATCTTTTTTTTTTTTTTAATTTATTAATTTGAGAGACAGAGTTACAGAGAGAGGGAGAGACAGAGAGGTTTTCCATCCACTGGTTCACTCAAATAACCAAAACAGCCAGAGGTAGGCCCATCTGAAGCCAGGGTTCAGGAGCCAGGAGCTTCTTCCAGGTTTCCCACGTGATTGCAGGGGAGCCAGTAAATTTTGACACCCTTGTCTTATACCTAAACTAGTTCACTAGTTTTGGTTCTGTCACTTGGCAACCAAGATGCCCATTATATCCTCCAAAATCTCTATTTTTGGTAGTAGTGGCTTTTTAAAAACTTGTGGTAAAATACACATACAGTTTACCATTTTAACCACTTATAAGTCTATAGGTTAAATACATTGATATTGTGCAGCAAATCTGTAGAATGCTATACCAATTATATAACAGCTCCCCAGTCCCCTAGCCCCTGGCAGCAATACTTCTTCCTATCTTTGAATGTGACTACTCATATAAATGGAATCATGCAGTATTTGTCTTCTGTGATAGCTTAATGTCCTTGATGTTCATTCACAGTGTGTCAGAATTTCCTCCTTTTTAGTTAGGGTTGAATATATTCCATTGTATATACATACCATATTATGTATAGTCATTCATCTGTCAATGGACACTTAGATTACTTCCATTTTTTGGTTACTATGAATAATGCAGCTATGTACATGGTTGTAAAAATATCTTTGAGGCCCTACCTTCAGTTCTTTTGAGTCTACATCCAGGAGTAGAATTTCTAGATTATACAATAATTTTGTTTACATTTTTAAGAATCACCATGCTGTTTACCATAGCAGCTGTACATTTTACATTCCCTCCAGCAGTGTACAGGGATTCCAATTTATCTGTATCCTTCTGTATCCTCAAGGGTCTACATTTAACTTTCCTTTTTTTTTTTTTTTTATAGTAGGTATACTCAGGGTATGAGGTAGTATCTTGTAGTTTTGATTTGCATTTCCTTAATCATCAGTGATGTTGAGCATTTTTCATGTGCTTGTTGGCCATTTGTGTATCTTTGGAGAAAATTTCATTCAAGCTTTTGTCTTTTTTAATTTGGTTCATGTTTCCAAAATGTATCCTAAACTATTTTTTCCAGTCTCCATTTTTACCATCAGATCCTTCCAAATAGAAGACTGCAAAATCTCTTAATCACACTCCCTGATTCCACTCTTGTCCCCTTGCATTCACCACAATGTAGCCAGAATGATTTTCTAAAAATATGGAATCTTATATGTCATTTACCTGTACAAAATTCAGTGGCATTCCATTACTCATATGGAAAAAATAAATCCATGAATCATAGTCCCAAAATGATCTGGACTCTACTTTGGTCATTATTTTCAGACACATTAGCTGTGTTTTAGTTGCCTGAATATGCCTGTTCTTTCCCTTCTTAAAGGCTTATATGTATTTTCCACTACCTGAAACACTTTTTTCTCTATTCCACCTGAATAAAGCCCATTCACACTTTGGGTCATAACTTATATTTTCCTTCTATATAGAGCCCTTTTATTAACCTCCTTCCCCTATTTAAATAAGGCCCCCACGCCACTTACTTTCCTAATAGCAACTATCAAAATTGAAAGTACATATTTATTTTTGCATTATTTATTACAGATCTCCTCCTGGGTTGTAAGGTTTAAGAGGGCAAGAACATGTCTATTTTTTGTATTTTAATAATAAATTTAGTTTGAAGATTTAAGGATTTCTAACATTTTCCTAAATTCACTTTATATGTGTATATATATACATTCACATGTAATACTATTTTTTTTTTTTTTTTTTTTTTTTTTTTTTTTTTGACAGGCAGAGTGGACAGTGAGAGAGAGAGACAGAGAGAAAGGTCTTCCTTTGCCGTTGGTTCACCCTCCAATGGCCGCCGCGGCCAGCGCGCTGCGGCCGGCACACCGCGCTGATCCGATGGCAGGAGCCAGGAGCCAGGTGCTTTTCCTGGTCTCCCATGGGGTGCAGGGCCCAAGCACCTGGGCCATCCTCCACTGCACTCCCTGGCCACAGCAGAGGGCTGGCCTGGAAGAGGGACAACCGGGACAGAATCCGGTGCCCCAGCCGGGACTAGAACCCGGTGTGCCGGCGCCGCAAGGCGGAGGATTAGCCTAGTGAGCCACGGCGCCGGCCCAATACTATTTTTCTTGAAAACAGGGATATTAATATCAAAATGAAGGATTCATGATAATGATAACTTGGGGTAGGATAAGTATATTTTTCTAACACCTTATCTCCAGACCAAATAATATCTAACACATAGAAGGTGCTCAATATTTGTAGATTGAATAAACGAAGGAGTGAACAAACCAGATGTGAAAGTTATTTAGGAATATTAATATGTCCAACTTTTTACTAATAATTGTGATATTTAAGTTAAATGTTTTGCCAAAAAATAGAAATTACTGAAATTAATTCAAGAGGAGGTGGTAAATCCACAGAAACTAGTAACTGTGAAGTCACTGAAAAACTTAGTAGAGGTATATTTATAAGGTAAACACATTATCTTTATTTGCATGTAGAATGATTATTTTCTCTAAAATGGTAACAAGGATCAACTATCAATATGAGATCTTAAAAGATAATCTAGCAAAATATCATTATTTGATAGAGATAAAAAATCTAAATTTCATGTACATCATTGGTAATTTTAAAATCTAATGAAAAAAATGCCTTATTTCAAAAGTAGCAAAAATAAAAATAAACTGAGATATACAAAATACAAATAAACTTAGAATTCTAAAAAGGACAGCTTTTTTTTTTTTTCCTTTTTTTTTTTTTTTTGACAGGCAGAGTGGACAGTGAGAGAGACAGAGAGAAAGGTCTTCCTTTGCCGTTGGTTCACCCTCCAATGGCTGCTGCGGCCGGCGCACCACGCTGATCCGATGGCAGGAGCCAGGTACTTATCCTGGTCTCCCATGGGGTGCAGGGCCCAAGGACTTGGGCCATCCTCCACTGCACTCCCTGGCCACAGCAGAGAGCTGGCCTGGAAGAGGGGCAACTGGGACTAGAACCCGGTGTGCCGGCACCGCAAGGCGGAGGATTAGCCTAGTGAGCCGCGGTGCCGGCCAACAGCTATGTTTTATAAGAAAATATTTTTAAATGTCAGTTATGCCAATTTATATATTTTACAATAGAATTTCTGGAGCCATTGACAAAGGAATTACAAGATTTGCTTGAAGCCAACAATTTTTAGAAAAAGAATCAGAGAAGAACTTACTAATACAAGTACATAACTGGAAAAAGCAATTAGCAAATCTGGTCAATGGAATACAATACAAAAGTCCCAAGCATTAATAGAAATTTAATTTTTGACAAATGTGGCATTTCAGAGGCAAAAGATGATTCAGTCAGTAAATGATATATTGAAAATTCACAAAAGAACAAGTGGCCAATAACTATACAGTAAAATGTTCCATTTCTGGTGATTTATGTAAATTAAAACTACTAGACATGTTTAATTAAATTGACAGATAAAGATGAGACAGCAAGTATGAAGCAAAATGAGCATTCCTTACAAACTCCTGTTGGAAGTATGAATTGGTGCATTCTGCAGCCCTTCTGGCGGTCAGTTTGGCAGTGGGTGTCAACTGTCTTAGGAGGATGCATGCCTTTTGATACAAATTGGCATTTGGTGGAATATACTCCGAGGATGCACAGAGATGCACAAAAGTCTTGCAACAATTATTTTCATTACATTATTATAGAAAAAAGGAAGGAATTCTAAATGTAAGTATTCAATGGAATTGTGTAAAATTTAAATTACAGCATATTTGTAAAAGAAGTACCATGAAGCCATTTTAAAAACTGAATAAATGTATCTTGATACAATTAATCATAATATTGTCTGAATAAAACAAGTTACTAAACCTGTCAAAAAGAACTTTTTTCCGTATATGTGGACCTGGTGGTGAGATAAACCGCAAGAGCTTATAAAGCAATTGTATTTGGGAAGGAAAGTTTAGTGGCTATTTTCACATCTCTGTATTTTTAGATTAAATTGTTTTTCTATTGAATATGGATAACTTTTACAATAAGGAAAAATAGAAATTTCATGTTTAAACACAAGGGAAAATTGAAGCATAATGTGGTTATTGAAAATTATCATGAAAACTGAATAAACAGCCAAATATATGAGTAAGAAAAATGTTTGCTTTGACTTTAACTATCATGTAATGTTTGTATATTGAAAACACATAATGAAACAGAAAATGAACATAGTTTACTTATTAAAATTCTAGGATTAGAGGCAGTTTTTTACTAAGTTAATTTTTAAAATAAAAATTTACAGTATGTCTTGAACCCAATATATTCAAGCAACTTCACAACAATGATGAAAAGCGAGGTATAGACCAATGGCAATGCCAAGAAATGGATGTTAATAGATGGAGGGGTGAGGCTTAGCCTTCCATTAGCACCTTCAGTTCCTATAAAGCTTCACCAGAAAAATTTACTTCAGCTTCAAGACAAGTCACCTATACAGAAATTCTGGCTCTCTTGTGATGGGGACAACTGGATATAATACCACAGGCCTCAGGTCTATTCTGTGTTATGCATTTTCAAAAAATATCAATAAATACACTGTCTCAGTCTTCACTTTGACCCCTTCTTATTCCTGGGTTTCAGAACCATGTGTGCTCAGTACTGCATCTCCTTTGCTGATGTTGAAAAAGCTCATACCAACATTCAAGATTTTATCCACCTCACACCAGTGCTAACAAGCTCCATTTTGAATCAAATAACAGGGCGAAATCTTTTCTTCAAATGTGAACTCTTCCAGAAAACTGGATCTTTTAAGGTAACAATCTTTTTGGTTAGTGAATCATGTATATTTTCAAGCCCCTTTCACATATAAATTTGATTCGCCAGTGAGGTAGGTAGGAGTAAATCAATACCTTGTAGTTGAAAAAGTGTTGGAGAAATGTTGAAGTCCTGGTTGCCTAGCATCATAGTGGAGTCCTGGCTCTGCTAGATTCTAGCTTCCTGCTAATGTGTATCCTGCAAGGCTGCATGTGATGACTCAAGTGCTTGGGGCACTGCCAGGGAGGCCTGGATTTAAGTTCTGGGCTCCTGGCTTAGCCTATCCCAGCCCTGGGGGTTTCAGGCATATGGAGAATGAACCAGCAGATGGAATCTCTGTGTTTATCTGTCTCTGCCTCTTGAATAAAATAACTTTTAAATGGTTAAGATAGTGTGGGTATTTGGTACAGTAGTTCACACCCGACTTGGGATGCCCACATCCCATACTAGAGTGCCTAGGTTTGAGTCTTGGTTCCTCTTCTGATTCCAGCTTCCTGCTAATGCACAGCAGGTGACAGCTCAAGTCTTTGGGTCCCCATCACCCACTTTGGGTGCCCAGATTGAGTTCCTCACTTTGGCCTGAACCAGCTGCAATTATTGTGGGCATTTAGGAAGTGAAACAGCAGATGGAAGATCTCTGTGTTCAAATAAGATGCAAATAAGTTTAAAAAATATTAAATGCTCTTTTAAAAGTGGTTAAGATGGTAAATTAAGGGAAAGCATTTGGTGCAGGAATTAAGTCACTGCTTATGAGCCCTGCACCCCAGAACAGAATGGAGATTTCTTTCTCTCTCCAAATAAAGAAATAAAGATTTTAGGGACAGGCATATAACACAGAGATTAAGTTCCCAGTTGGGACACCCATATCCTATTTCAGAGTACTTGGGTTCAAGTCCTAACTCTGCTTCCAATTCCAGCTTTCTACTATGTACAACCTAGGAAGCAGCATTGATGGTTCAAGTATTTGGGTTGTTGCTGCCTGTCGCTCCCCCTCTTCGTGGAGGAACGACACAGGACCCTGCGCTGTTCTTTTGTCTGCTCGGCCCTCCCCGGGTTTGCTGCTGGTTTTTCCCGGGTTGGCTACCGTCCCTTCCACCTCCGTGGAAGGGCGGTTCCCCCTGCCACTTTCCCCACTTCCGCGGGGGAGCGGCACACCGCCGGCCGGCTCTCTCGGGGGCTGCACAGGTGTTCCTTCAGATAGATGTTCCCTTTAGATGTTCCTGGTGCATGTTGTCTCTCTCCTCCTTTATAGTCCTCTTCCACCAATCCCAACTCTGCTACCCACACGCCGAGTATGCTGCTCTCCTCCAATCAGGAGCAGGTCCTGCTGTTTATTGGTTGAACTGGAGGCAGCTGTGTAGAAGCTGTTTCCTCCTCTCCCAGCGCCATATTGTGGGAGAGCAGATGCATAGAATAAGTCTTAATTCCAGTAACAGTCTAGTCCGAGTTGCTCCCCACAGCTGCCCACGTGGGAGACCCTGATTGAGTTTGGGCTCCTGGCTTCAGCCTGGCCAAACCCTGGCTGTTGTGAGCATTTGGGGAATGAACCAGCAGATGGAAGACCTCTCTTCATCTGTCTGTCTCTCTTTGTCTCTGTTTTTCAAGTAAAGTGAAAATAAGTACATAAATATCTTAAAGGAATCAGCATTGTGGCACAGTGCGTTAAGTTACCCCTATGATGCCTCATCCAATATAAGAGTGCTGGTTAGAGTCCCAGGTACTCCACTTCCAATTCAGCTTCCTGCTGATGCACCTGAGAAAGCACTGAAAGATAGCCCAAATATTTGGAACCCATGCCACCCATTTGGCAAACCATGATGGAGTTCCTGGCTCCTGGCTTCAGAAACCAAGCCTGGCTGTTGTGGCCATCTGGGAAGTGAACCAACAGATAGAAGATCTCTGTTTCTCCCTCTCTTCCACTGTTGCTCTGCCTTTCCAATAAATATTATTATTATATTTTATTGATTTATTTGAGAGGTAGAGTTATACACAGCGAGAGGGAGCGACAAAGAGAAAGGTCTTCCATCCACTGGTTCACTCACCAACTGACCGCAATGGCCAGAGCTGGGCCTGTCTGGAGCCAGGAGCTTCTTCTGAGTCTCCCACACAGGTGCAAGGGCCCAAGCACTTAGGCCATCTTCACTGCTTTCCGAGGCCATAGCAGAGAGCTGGATCAGAAGAGGGGCAGCCAAAACACAAACAGCATCCATATGGTATACCGGCACCACAGGCAGAGGCTTAGTCTACTGTGCCACAGTGACAGCCCCTCTCTCCTTCTGTCTCTGTAACTCTGCCTTTCAAATAAGTCTTTTATTAAAAAATTGCACATATCTAGGGTGTAGGATGTACAATTCACAGATTAGATATGCAAAGTTAGAAAACCTAGAAAAGCTTGGTTTTTTAAAAGAAACTTTCAAGTCTAGTAGTCATGTTCTGCATAATAGCATTTTGGCCAATGATAAACCACATATATGATGGTGGTCTGTAAGATACAGGAGTTAAAATATTCCTACCACCTAATAATGTGATAGCCATTGTATTATTGTAATGCATTACTCATATATGTTCAGTGATGCTGGTATAACAAACATGCACTGGCAGTCATAAAAGTACAGCATATAGGGCAGGCATTTGGACTAGTTAAGACAGCTGTTGGGATGCCTGCATCCCATATTAGAGTGGCTAGGTTTGAGTCCCAGCTTTGCTCCCAATTCCAGCTTCCTGCTAGTGCCCTGGGAGGCACTGGTGATAGATCAACTAATTGGGTTCCTGCCACCTACTTGGGAGAGCTACATTGAGTTCTAGGCTCCCTGTTTCCCTGGCTGTTACAGACATGGGGAATGAACCAGTGGATGAGAGCTGTTTGTCTCTCTGAAATAAATGAATACAGAAAAGTAGCACATAAAATTATATGTAGTACCTATATGATAATGATGTTGTTAAGTTTATGTATTTTATTTTAGGGTATGTGCCTTTTACTTAGACAAATTAAGTGCAGGGGCTGACACTATGGCCCTGCCCTGAAGCGCTGGCATCCCATATGGGCGCCGGTTTTTGTCCCAGCTCTTCTTCCGATCCAGCTCTCTGCGATGGCCTCAGAAAGCAGTAAAAGATGTCCCAAGTCCTTGGGCCCCTGCATTCTGGTTCCTGACTTTGGATCGGCTTAGCTCCAGCCATTGTGGCAATTTGGGGAGTGAACCAGCAGATGGAAGACCAACCCCTCCCTCCCTCCCTCCCTCCCTCCCTTTCTGTAACTTTTTTTTTTTTTTTTTTTTTTGAAGTACAAAACAGCCAGTTCTTTCAGGGGATAACTCCAGAAGGCACTGATGTCATAGATGACACCTCCATGCATGTTAGTGCCCCTGAAGACCTTTCCAGTGGCACAAGATGTAGAGATGAAAGACAGTGATTCCGATGATCCTGACCCTGTATAGGCCCAGGCTAATGTGTTTGCCTATAAAAAACTTTAGATATAAGGAAGATATTTTTAAATTTTTTTATTTGTTTAAAAGGCAGAGTGACAAAGAGATCATCCATCCATTGGTTCACTCCCCAAATGGCCAACAACCAGGAGCCTGGAACTACATCTAGGTCTCTCACATGGATAGCAGGGGCCCAACTTCTTGGGCAATCTTCCACTGCCTTCCCAGGCAAACTATCAGGGAGCTGGACTGGAAACAGCAACTGGGAGAGGAACTAGTGCTGTGATATGGGTGCTGGTGTTACGGGTAGCAGTTTAACCCATTGACCTGCAACTTGAGCCCCAAGGAAATATTTTTGTATGGTTGTACAATGTGTTGTTATTACAAGAGTCAAAAACATTAAAAAGGGGCTGGCATTGTGGTTAAGCCTCCACCAACACTGGCATCCCATATTGAAGCACTAGGTCAAGTATAGGCTGCTCCACTCTTTTTTTTGTGTGTGTGTTGTTTTTTTTTTTTTTTTTTTTTTAAGATTTATTTATTTGAAAGGCAGAGAGTTACAAAGAGAGAGGTCTTCCCACTAGTTCACTCCCCAAATGGCCGCAACAGCCAGAGCTGGGCCAATCCAAGCCAGGGGCTTCTTCCCGGTCTCCCACTTGGGTACAGAGGCCCAAGGACTTGGGCCATCATCCACTGCTTTCCCAGGCTATAGCAAAGAGCTGGATCAGAAGTAGAGCAGCCAGGACTCAAACCAGCGCCCATAGGGGATGCTGGCACTGAAGGTGGTGGCTTTATCCACTATGCCACAGTGCTGGCCCCTGGCCGCTCCACTTCTAACCTGACTCCCAGCAAAGCAAGAGAAGATGGCCCAAGCGTTTGGGCCCCTGCCACCTATGTGGAGATCCTGGATGGAGTGCCTGGCTTCCGCCTGATCTAGCCCCAACCTTTGTGGCCATTTGGTATATAAACCAGCGCATAGAAGATCTTCTGTCTCTTCTCTGTCACTCTGCCTTTCAAATAAGTAAAATCTTAAAAAAAAAAAAAAAAAAAGGTTGAAAAATTGAAATTTACAGTAAGGTTAATTTATTAAAGAAAAAATTTATATATTTAGTCTAGCTCACGTGTAGTATTTATGAAGTTTTCAATAGTGTAATGTCAGGCCTTCACAAGCACTCACCCCTCACTCATCTCTAACTTCTAGTCCCATGGTAAGTGCCCTATACAGGTGTACTGTTTTTTATCTTGTATGCTGCATTTATATTGTCTTTTTCTATTTTTACATCATAGCCTCTTACCATTGTTAGAGTTGCCTATAGAATTCAGTATAGTGACAGTTGTGTTTGTAGCCTAGGAGCAATAGGCTATACCATATGAAAGTGCACTCTAATACTTTCAAAAGTGCCTAATAATGCATTTCTCAGAACTAAGTTCCTGTTGTGAAGTAACACATGATTGTGTGAATTCACCATTCCTCTTCCAGATTCGTGGTGCTCTTAATGCCATCAGAGGCTTGATTCCTGCCACCTCAGGAGGGAAGCCTAAAGCAGTTGTTACTCACAGCAGTGGAAACCATGGCCAAGCTCTCACCTACGCTGCCAAATTGGAAGGTACCTAATGTCTCAGACCATTGCATAGGCTCATCAGAGAGGAAAACTATCTTTAATTTCAGTGAGAGTGGTGATGGATGTGGGAAGTTAATCTCCAAAGGAATTTCCACCCTAAACTCTACTGACTTACACTGTTTTCCCCACCCAGGGATCCCTGCTTATATTGTGGTACCCCGAACAGCTCCCAACTGTAAAAAACTAGCAATACAAGCCTATGGAGCCTCTATAGTGTACAGTGAACCGAGTGATGAGGTAAGAAAGCAGTCTCATTTGATTGACTGCTTTTCTTGCTTTACTGGCTGCTGCTTTCCAGTCTCCTTCATTGATTCTTCTTCCAAACTTTTCGTACCTGTACTCACTCAAATATTGTTAGTCTCATAGTTTAACATATCACCTATATTCTAATAACCCAGATTTGCATATCTGACTTTCTCACTTGGATGCCTCAAGAGGCTTCTCAGACTTGCTAGTCTGCAACCAAACTCTTCATCGTCCCAGTTATTCCCATTCCGGTTTTCCTTATCTCAGTAAATGGCAAAACAAAACAAAAATTTGGTATTATCTTTGATATTCTCAAACCCCACATTCAAATCTCAGTGCTTTCAAAATATATCCAAATCCAGCTGTTTCCAACAGCCTTTTTCACGGCTACCCTGGTTCAAACCGACATCAACCCTCATGTAGATTCAGTAACCTAACTGGTCTCTTCCACCCTTGCCCCACTGTTTAAGAGCAACCAGAACTATCCATTTACTAAATGGATAAATCAAGACCTGTCTCTCATCTAAAACTTAGGTGAACTACCCAATCCTTTCTTAAATCCTCTCATCTCCTTTCACCACCCCCCTGTCAAACATACCATGTCAGTCACACTAACTGCTTAGCAGTTCCTCAGAAAGGCCAGACACTCCCGCTTTGTAGTCTTTGCACTTGTTATTACCCACTTGAAATGTTCTTTAAAAACCCACAGTACTTGCTCAAATTTGTTACTTTAGTAGAGGCCCTTCATTTTTCTCCACAGCTCTTAAATGTATCATATATTTACTTCCCAGCTCTCCCCACCGTGTAAGAATATAAATCTTTTGAGGTTTATAAACTTGTTAACTGCTGTATCTCCAGTGCCTGAACAAAATCTGAGAAGTAAATGAATCAAACTTGTTGGAAAGTCTATTAAATATAAATCAAGTAAACTAATCCAATGTATTTCAGTCTAGAGAAAATGTTACAAAACAAATTGTGGAAGAAACAGAAGGCATCATGGTACATCCCAACCAGGAGCCTGCAGTGATTGCTGGGCAAGGGACAATTGCCCTGGAAGTGCTGAACCAGGTAATATAGCATACTGGTAAAGCTGTTTGGCTGCCAATTCGGTTATTTAATATGTACACAAAAAATTGCCTAATAATAAGCCCATTTACACTTTATATTCTTCTTACTAAAGGTTCCCTTGTTGGATGCACTCGTGGTTCCAGTAGGGGGAGGAGGAATGATTGCTGGAATAGCAGTTACAATTAAGGTGAGGAAAAGAGCTTCCGGAGGACTTCCTGCTTCTGTTATAAAGGCTTTACTTTATATCATAGTACATTGTGGATACTTGCTCGGTAATCTCCCCAAATTTTCATCCAGTCCTATAATCCCTTGGCACTCTGAAATGGAAGGCCTCACCATCCTCTTCACTGAGCAGTTAGAATGAGTGATATACCCCCACATCCTGTCCCTGAATCCCATTTCACTCATCAGTCCACGACAGGGGCTTCCTTTTCTCCAGATTACCACTGGAACCAGATGTGATCCAGACAACTAGAGGATATTATTAAACAAAGGATTTATTTATAAAGTGCTTCAAGGTCATAATTTCATAACATGTATCAAAGGGAAAGACTCTTTGGCAGAGATATTACTTTTTCAGCCTATTTTATTTTAGGCATGCAGGCAGTGCTGTGGTTAGTTGTAAGGTGTCTAATATTCCTTTTCCCAGGCTTTAAGACCTAGTGTGAAGGTTTATGCTGCTGAACCCTTGAATGCAGATGACTGCTACCAGTCCAGACTGAAAGGGGAACTGATGCCCAATCCTTGTCCTCCAGAAACCATAGCAGATGGGGTCAAATCCAGCATTGGCTTAAACACCTGGCCTATCATCAGGGACCTTGTGGATGATGTCTTCACTGTTACAGAGGATGAAATTAAGGTAAGACCGCAAAAGGAAAAAACAAGACTCTAGGCACAATAACTTTCTCTTGCTAGGAGTAGCAGGAGACCCATAGGGACCTTAACTTCATTCCATGTTGGAGAGGGTACCCTAGGTGTAGTATAACCCTCTTGATGGCAGAAGCAGTGTTAAAGTGTAAGAAGAGCCTTGCTCACTGGCAAGCACACATACTTAATAAGAAAATTCAGATAAAGCATGTATGCTCTTCTGGCCTTTTATGATTAAACCCCTTAGACTATTCGTCTCATGTTTCACTAATCCTCACTCTTCTGTACCAACAGTATGCAACCAAGCTGGTGTGGGAGAGAATGAAACTACTCATTGAACCTACAGCTGGTGTTGCAGTGGCTGCTGTACTGTCTCAGCATTTTCAAACCGTTTCCCCAGAAGTAAAGAACATTTGTGTTGTGCTCAGTGGTGGAAATGTAGACTTAACCTCTCTGACTTGGATGAAGCAGGCTGAAAGGCCAGTTAATCAATCTGTTTCTGTTTAAATTATACAAAACAGATGGATGCACTGTCTCCAGATATGTGTAACTTTGTTTCTGGTCATTGTCAATATTTCATCTTTCTTTCTTAAATAGATTTCAAAATCCTAATGGATAGAAATTTCAATAAGATTTAATAGTTTTTTGGATTAAGTAGGAGAAAAACTTCATCCTTAACTGAGACACTTGTCAAAGCCAAAAAAAATCTTTTGCAAAAACCATCAGATCTGTAGGCTCCCCAACGTATAGTGACAGAAGCCCATGAAGTCCATTATTCTGGGTCCATTTCAAGCACTGTTGAAGGAATCTCACTTTTTATCCAAGGTACTGGTTCTGGTACATACGGATCATAAGTCCATTTGGGGAAAACTCGTTTATAGAGGTTCATTAGTACTGTGTCTTGAGATTTTAGCTTCCCATCAAAACTGCATTTCATGTGGCCATGGGTGCCTAGAAAAACACCAGAGCAAGTTGGTAAAATTAAAAGTGGGAATTTTTAAAGTAATGAACTCCCAACCCAACAGTCATTTGGTAACACTGGGAAAATCTTGACAAGGTCCCAAATCCACATTCTTACCTAAAGGCTCTTTGATGTGTCCCCTTCGGCCCCACTTTGTTCTCAGTTCCACTGGTTTAAACCATAGCACATCCTCTTAAAATGGAACACATAGAAAACCAAGATGAAATATTTATCCACAAAATATAAAATAGCAATTAGATTCCATCTGCCTCCTCCATGCCTACCTCTGTTGAAGAACATGTAACGTACTACTGCTGTCTTAGTAAAAATTTTGAAAGGATGACCACTCAGAACAACTCTCTTGATGACCATTCTGTCTGGATCCACTGACAACAGATGGCCTGTAGCAATGAGGTTGTGCATTCCTAAGAAAAAAAAGCAAAGCAGCTATTCAGTTTATTGTTGCAATTCTTCTAAAGATCTATGTAAGACTTTCTTGGAGGAACATTAATAACAATGCACTATGCTGCCCTCCTGCGTCCCAGGCAGAGAGTAATACATGATATTCCTGCTTAGCCTGTCCCAGAACCTATCCTACATATAGCAATGTGAGCAACCTCTACCAATTAGCTAAGGTTTGCAACCAAGATCAAAATGCAGTTTGGCATCTCTAAGATCCTCCATGAAGAAATATATATATATATATAATATATATATGTAATTTACTTATATATATATATATAAAATCATTACTTTCTTCACACAATTTGGTTCTCAATCTAAATATAGAAGACAAATTAAATCCTATTAAGGACCTTACTGCAAGCCTGTTCACCTCGGAACTCAACTTACCATTGCTTTTCTGTTTGAAAAGCAGCACAGATGCAGGAGGAAAAGTGATTGGCGCATATACTGTTACCACTAGGGCCACATCAGCAGTCAGGAATCTCTGAAATTTATGTTTATCCGCTGCCACAACACACAAATGTTTTTGGTTAGAAAACAACAAAGACATTTTAAGAAAAATCATAGGTAATCCAGGGGCCCTTGAAAAGTCCTAATCACCACAGCTCGTAAACCCAAGGTAGCACGTGTGTCTGCGCTACTAATTCTCAAAAATATCTTGCATTGATACAAATGAGACACAAGCCAGTCCTGTTAGTGATTTTTCAACCAGAGATGGATTCTTGGAGACTCGACTATGATTTGGGGTTTGAAAAGTTCTCATGGTGACTCTGATGCCTATCACCCCATGTCATGTGAGAAATTAGTGCTTTATAAAGATTATCCCTACTAAATCAACAACTCTTGATCCTGAACAGGGACTGGCAAACATTTTCTGTAAAGGGCCAGAGAGTGAATAGTTTAGGCTTTTGTGGCTATGCAGTTTCTGTCAAAACTACTCAACCATTGCCATTCTAGCACAAAGGCAGCCATACATTGAATATTTTAAAAAGTATAGGGGCAGGCATCTGGCCAAGCATTCAAGATGCCTATGTCCCACATCCAAGTGCCTAGATTCGATCCCCAGCTCTGGTTCCTGTTCCTGACTCCTGCTTGCTGCTACTATGAACCTGGGAGGTAGTGGTGATGGCTCAAATAGTTTGGAGGGGAGGGAGACAGTGTTCCTGCTACCCACTTGGGATACTTGCATTGAATTCCTGGTTTTGGCCCCCAGCCATTGCAGGCACTTGGGGAGTGAACTAGCAGATTGGGGCTCTCTGTCTTGTCTCCCTCTCAAATAAATTAATTTAAAAAATAAAAATTCTGACTGTGTTCCAATAAACCTTTGTTTACATACAAAAACAAGTGATGGGGCAGATTTGGCCTCAAGGCCACAGTTTGTTCACCCCCAATCTTGAGACTACCTGCAACTTCAGTTTTACTTTCAATGTAACCTTCCCCCCCAACCTTTATATAACTTATAACTTAAGGAAACATAGGAAAATGGAATACTTTAAGGGAAAGAGAAATGAATCTCTTATTTAGAGAGCATGGTTGGTGAGAATAAAAATTCCTACTGCTTTCATCCTTCTCTTGCTGTTGCTGAGAGCCAAGCGAGCAACCAGTGTGCTATGCAAGGGTGATACTCAGAAGGCCCTTGTCCCTGGTCACCACTCTCCAAACTCTCATCCAGCCTCAACATCCCAAAGCCCACACCTCCCTGGCTTTACCCAACTATGCCCATACCCAGCCTCCATCCCTTCACCCACAGTGGCAAGGTGTCCAACAACGTGACACACCCTTTTTATAAAGTTGCCATCTATGGTTCAAAACCTACACTGAAACCTACTTATGGCAGAGAAGCCTCAGCACCACATAGAGATGCATCACTGAGATGCGTCAGACAGGTTCAGACATTTTGCATAAAAACATCATTGGCTCCTAAGCCAGAGTATACTGAAAATAACCTCTAACTCAGAGAGTTTGGAACTATTATACAATCCTCCCCCAAGTCAGTCTCCCCAAAGACGGTATGATGGACAAGAACCCAGAAGCTTCCCCACTGCTGACCTGCAGTGTGCTGAGAGAATAATGGTGAAGCTCGGAAGCGCCGGAACCCACAGTGGAAGATCAGCTCCTCTTTGGCTTTCACAGGCTCTGTGTCACCAGGGTTCCGCCTCACCACCATATTCAATACTGACATCTGAGGACCAGGTAAGGGGGAAACACACACACACACACTTCAGTCTGGAAATACAAGCCTGATCTGAAAGAAGGCAAATCAAACCAGCAGGCTGCTCAGATTCACCCTAGGGAGTAACAATGCTAAGGGTAGAGAATAGATGATAGCACATACTCTTCCCTCTACCAACCACTGGGATGAGAGCTCTCATCATGTACTCCTCTATGCTCGCTTACCTTCTGCATCTGCCACAAAATCAGTGACCTCCAAGTTATTCGCTCACCACTCAATTCAAAGCCACATCCATTCAAGCCTCTGCTTCCTCAACCCTTACCCTTACCGGAACTGACTAAAGGCCAGGGATGGTACATAACACCCAACATACACAAATACTGGCCACCATCAAGTCTGCACCTTGGCATAAACCTTTATTTTTAAAGCTGCCAACTTGTTCAAAGTCTAACCTGGAAAACCTTCTTATCTCAGAGAAGTCTCAGAACCACACAGAAAAGGCATCACTAAGATGCTTCAGACAGGTTCAGACATTTTGGGTAAAACCATCATTGACTTCTCTCCTAGCCTCCAATTCCCAATCATAAAGACACAATTTTCTCATCTCCATGAGCAAAATGCCAGTCACATAAACAGAATTCTAGACTCTGAGGACAGTTTTAAGTTTTCTAACTCCCAATTCCCCACAAGGCATTAATTCACCTTCTGTTCATGAGGGAGTAAAGAAAATGCAATCATAGGTGCTCCTCGCCTGAAGGACTCCACTACTGAGACAGGAACATCCGAGACGTGAAGTGTGACATACCAGCCAACCTATGAGCAAAAAGCAGGAAACAATCAGTTACCCTTCACGTTACAATGACAAAGTCATCTTTCCAAATGTGTGAGGCTCCCACACTACCCCAAAACCCAACTCTCTCTTCAAGAAAGTCTTTCACAGATGCTTTTACTACTCAAATGAAGCTTTCTCAGTTAACAACTCTGATACTCTGTTCCCTTTACCACTCTTGCTGAGTACTCAGCTATAGGCAGCATAGAACTAAATTATTAGGTCCTCATTCTCAGGCCAAGACAAGCAGTAAAGTAGGGAGCACTGTGGCAAAAGAAAGCAAATTTCAGGATGGACAAGTAGGTACCTCAGCTCCTTCAACCTCTTTGTCATCAATCTCTTTAAAGATGCTTTTCCTGGTATTAGCAAAGTTCTGAAACTGAAAGATCCGAGCATAATCTCGAGGAAGGTTTTCCTTAGGATCCCATGGAGATGTCCGGAAACTCTTAAGGCCTCTGTATTTCTGAAATCTAGAATATAGAATTTTAAGAAATTAACAGTTAATTTATGTGGTGCTACATAAGACCCGAGTCATAGCTAAGACTCTAGCTTAAAAGAACTCTAATCATTATCTCTAATTGCTTAAGCCAAGACCACACTTTTTTTTTTTAACATTTATTTATTTGAAAGCTAGAGGAAGAGGCAGACACAGAGAGCTTCCATCTGCTGATTCAATCCCCAAATGGCTATAACAGCCAGGGCTGGGCCAGGCTAAAATTAGGAACAGGAGTTTCATCTGGGTCTCGCATGTGGGTGCAGAGGGTCAAGCATTTGGGCCATTTTCCATTGCTTTCCCAGGTGTACCAACAGAGAGCTGGATTGGAAGTGGAGCAGCTGTTACCCAAATGGGATGTCAGGGCTGCAGACAGCAGCTTAACCCACTGTGCCACAACACCAATCCCACTCTAAAACAACTTTTAACAAGAAATTAAGAAACAAACACAAGGTTGTAACTGACAAGTACTTGCAATGGGAGTGGGCGTTTGGCATTTAAAATGCCACTTAGGATGACTGCATCCATACCAGAGTACCTAGGGCTAGTCCCCAACTCTGCTTCTGATTCCAGCTTCCACTAATGTGTACCCTGGGAGGCAGCAGGTGATGGCTCAAGCCCCTGTGACT